GACCCAGGGGATGTTCCGGAGCCTGACTGGAATCTGGGCAGGCAGGGCCTTTCTGTCACCAGACAGCCAGGACTGCCCCACCCACCACGAGGCGTGGTGCAGGTGCCTGTGCTCGGAAAGTCTCCCAGGCAATTCCTCCCAGCGGTGGGCGTGGGACGTGGCCCTGGCCCCTGACCTGTGAGCTCCCTCCTCTGCAAGTAGGTGTGAAGACCCGTCCTGCCAGGCCTGGCTCCTGAGGACCAGCCAAGCATGGGAGTGGAACACAGGAGCTTTCTCCACATGTGCTCTGCGCTGCAGCCATGCAGTCAGGCTGGGGATGTTGCTGGGATTCTCTGAGATGTCCTGACCCTTCCCTGGCTACCCACAAACCAAGCAAGCTTTGTGAACATCCACAAAAATGGCAGATGACAACTGCCTTGGGAGAGTGATGGCTGGGGAGTGGGGATGGCGCTGGGAGCCCGAAACGCTGAGCACCCTTGTCTACTCATCTAACCTCAGTCTGTGCAGGCGGCTGGGGAGTGAGGATGGCGCTGGGAGCCCGAAACGCTGAGCACCTTTGTCCACTCATCTAACCTCAGTCTGCGCAGGGAAAGGAGTCATTGCTGATCAGTGGGAGACGCATGAGGCTTGTGTGGGGGAGGTAGCTGCGTGCAGCAGAGGGGCCTGCAGGCGGGACAGCCATGCCACTGCACACACCTGTGGGGGCCTGGACTGGGGGCGCCCGGCTTGCCTGTTGCTGTGGACGCACATTCCCCACGTGTATTCAATGCCACAGCATCAGGGCAGGGTCCACGCTTGGTCAGCCCTCACCTGGACCCAAGGTGGACGCCCTCATCCCCCATCGAGGCCCCATAGTCACCTTCCTCATCTCTCATCTGGGCCTCATGCTCACCTTCCTCAGCCCTCACCTGGATTTTCCAGCCCACCCCTCCTTCTCCCAGGGGAAGGGCTGCTCACCTGCAGTGTGGATGAACATCAAGTGGATTAGCTGGACATTCAGGGATGCTTTCTTTACTCACCCGACTCGGTTACTGACTGCCTCCTACAAGCCGGACATTTGTGAGGCCGTATAGAAAAACAATAGTCACAGTTCTTCAGGGTTCACAAAACCAACACTAATGTGTTTTCTGTTGACATTTTATAGCATAATTTGCAATGACCTCTTTAGACGAATGGATTTGGTTTTCCACTTAGCTCAGAAGGAGGATCCAGCACCCAGTAGGCTCTGGAGCACCCAGGCTGCCTGGAAGCAGAGTGGGGACGTGGGTGGTTGTGCGGGGCCTGGAGTTCCCCTTGTGGGACTGAAGCTGAGCTGTTTCATTTCCAGGGGTTGTGAGTCTTTCATGTGTGGAACAGGAACAGTGGCAGTCCTGCCCACGGAGCTGAGGGCCAGGTGGGGTGCACAGCTGACGGCTGAGAGCATGTGAGCGGCCACCAAGGCGAGACACTGTTCTGCATCTGCTGGAGGGACCGGCTGCCTTCAAGCTTGGCTCCAGGCTGAATGGGAGCCCCAGGTGGGTCCAGTCTACTCGAGGACAGACCCACGTCAGCCCTTCAGACTGTTCTTCTCGGCTGCTGGTGGCCGCAATTAGGGGGCGGCAGAGCCCAGGCCATGGGAGGCGGGTGCTCCTCTGTCAGTCTCCCTCTCTTCTCCTCTCCTGGGAACGTCCTGATGGCAGTTCTGTGCACCAGGAGGCCGGCCTGCTCTCCTGAAACACCTTTCCTGGCATGGGCAACACCTGCATGCGTGACCTCAGGGGCTCCATCCTGTTTTCCAAGGGGTACAGCCAAAGCTGGCGTCCCACAGGATGCAGTCACAGCTGCACTGGGGCAGGAGGGTGGCAGGGACAAAAGTGAGCTAATGCCTGGGAGCCCAGGGAGTCTCCCTGAGTCTACAGGCTTTGCGGGCTGCACAGGGCAAGGCGAATGAACCCCTGAGTGGGCTGCTGCTGAGGATTAGTGATCTACACTGACAGCACACATCACCCACCACACACAGAGAAACACGCAGACCACACGCCACACACACCGTGAGCACATCACCCACCACGCACAGAGAAACATGCAGACCACACGCCACACACACCGTGAGCACATCACCCACCACGCACAGAGAAACACACAGGACTGGCGGGCACGGTGGCTCAAGGCCTGTAATCCCAGCACTTTGGGAGGCCGAGACGGGCGGATCACGAGGTCAGGAGATCAAAACCATCCTGGCTAACCCGGTGAAACGCCCGTCTCTACTAAAAAAAGTACAAAAAAAAATACGCCGGGCGAAGGGTGGCGGGGTCTGTATCCCAGCTACTCGGAGGCTGAGGCAGGAGAATGGCGTAAACCCGGGAGGCGGAGGCTTGGACAGTGAGCCCAGACCGGCCACTGCACTCCAGCCTGGGCGACAGAGCAAGACTCCGTTTAAAAAAAAAAAAAAAAAGAAACACGCAGACCACATGCCACACACACCGTGAGCACATCACCCACCATGCACAGAGAAACACACAGACCACACGCCACACACACACCATGAGCACATCAAATACCACACACAGAGAAACATGCAGACCACACACCACACACACTGTGAGCACATCACATACCACACACAGAGAAACACACAGACCACATGCTACACACACATCGTGAGCACATCACATACCACACACAGAGAAACATGCAGACCACATGCCGTACACACATCATGAGCACATCAAATACCACACACAGAGAAACATGCAGACCACATGCCACACACACACCATGAGCACATCACATACTACACACAGAGAAACACGCAGACCACACACCACACACACCGTGAGCACATCACATACCACACACACTACTCCTGTACATATACTACATGTCACACACACAGAAACACACCACACACATCATGCACACTTCACACACATCACATACCACACACACACCATTCCTGTACACACACATGTCACACACACAGAAACACATACACCACACACAGCATGCACATATCACCTACCACACACATCACTCCTGTATACATACCACGTTATACATACACCACACATCACACACACAGAAACACACACACACACCACACACATCACATACCACACACACACCACTCTTGTACACACACATTACATGTCACACACACAGAAACACACACACACATCACACACCATGCACACTTCACACACTCATGCTCCTTATGGAGGTTCAAGGTTGACTGTGTTCTTTTCCCCTCCTTTTGAACCTGACCCCACAGGTCTCCAGATCCTGCAGCCGTGAAGTGAGTGCACCACATCCACCAGGGTCTCCCGATCTCAAGGAGTGAGGTGGGGACCACAGGCTGGTCGGGGTCTCCAGAGCATCAGTCCTGGTTCATTGTCCTCTGCCCTGGGACTCCTTCTCTTAGGTCGAGGGAGAGCAAATGTCCTGAATCACACACTCTGACCCTCAGACTCCAACTCAGCTGCACCCAGCCCACAGGGAGGAGCCCATGGCCCGCAGAGCTCCCCGTCTCAGAGGAGGCTTGTTCCTGTGACTCTCCTCCCTCGCGCCCTCCTCCCGACCTGGGCCGGGTTGTGCCGTCCCTTCCAGTTCACCACAGCCCTACAGCCCCAAGCTCATTGTCCTCCCTGAACTCTCCTGGGTGCTTTCGCTGGCCATCAGCATCCTATTCAGGCCACGAGGCTGAAGAAGAAGAGGCAGCAGCAGCCCCCAGGCCCGTGGCTTCACGACTGGGATCCCTTCAGCCTCTCACTGGCATCTACAGAGCTCGGAGTTAGGAGAGTCTCCTTATTTTGAATTGAAAAGTACTCTGGGCTTCTTACGGTACACAGCACTGTGCAGGCATCGCGTGTCGTTCTCCAGACGTAGAATTTATATCAGAGTGATTGTCCTCAACTACCCCTTTACCTCCTGCTTCCTATCAATTGCCCTCAGTAAGTGCCGGGTGGAGTCCAGGTCCCCGAGGCTGGGGGTCCAGCGCCTGATCTGTCCTCAGCCACTGTCCAGTCTCATCTCTTCGCCCTGCTGGGCGGGGCAGCCTCTGGATTGTCCCCAGGGCTTTAGCTGCTAGGGTTGCCCCATCCCTGCCCCCTGCACCTGCACGCAGCCCGGGGGACGGAACTGGCAGAGCTCATTCGTCCACTTACAGGAAGATCCCTTGGTGCCTCCCACGTGCTGAGCTCTGCTCCGGAGGGGAGGAGAAAAGACCCAGAGACTGTTTACGTTTCTGATGCATCCTGTCCCTGTCACCAGGTTTGCCCTCAAAAGTATCACATACACAGGAGATAGTTTATCACTGTTATTGGATATTTCTGGAAGCAAAATACGAACGTTAACTCATGTTTCTTCCATGCAAATGACAGAACTCGGAGCCTTCCGATTCACATGGGCCTATTTCTTGTTTTCAAGCAGGACCTGAGAACAGCTGTGTTTTGGACAAGGGACACCTTCTGAGCAGCAAACTTGGGCAGTTGCATCTCTGTGAATTAGCGAGACGCATGCACACACAGGCACTAATCCATCCGGCTCCGGGAGACTCTCCGCCGCCTCCATCCATCTCCCTGACGGGTACCAGGTAGAAGCGGCAGGGCCCAAGCTGGCTTCTCAGAATGAGACAGCCTCAGAGCTCAGGAGCAGGTGGGGCCGGCCTCCCAGGCCACGCTCCCGTTTTAGACGAGATGCAAATGCTGTGAGAGGAGCCCCACCGTTTCCCAAAGCAGATGGAAAGCTGATAATAACTCAGTCTTTGCCACGGGAGGGACGGCTTCCTGGAACACGTCCACGGCCGAATCCCCAGCAAGCACAGTGAAGTGCACAAATCGGGCTTGTCAGGGAAAGATCAGCACAGCACAGCAGGAGGGCGGGCCTTGTCTGCCAGCGCTGCTGCCTGGAGCCACTCGGGGTGTCAGTGTCAATCATCCCGAGGACAGGGACAGAGGTGCAACGTGGCTTCCCAGGGCTGGGGAGGCCGAGGGTGCAGCTGATGCCAGCCCCTGGGGCTCCTGGACGCCCATCCTCTGTTATCAGCCTTGCTCTGCTATCCACTTTAGAGGCTGAGTTTCAAAGGCAGAGTTCAATGATCATGAAAAGGATCTCCTGAAGAACACACAGAAAGGCAGACTCCTCCTCAGAAACCGAGGGGGCTCCATGCCTGAGTGGACGTGGGAAGCAATGGGTTTTATCCCCGCAGGCCCCGAGGGTGGGTGTGCTGTGTCCCCAGTGGGTGAAGAACAGCGTGCCCCTGGGACAGAGGCAGTGTTCAGACAGGATGGGAACGCGCCCCACCCCACAGGAGACACAGAGGCAGCCTGCAGGCGGGATGGGAACACGCCCCACCCCATGGGAGACACAGAGGCAGCGTGCAGGCGGGATGGGAACACGCCCCACCCTATGGGAGACACAGAGGCAGTGTTCAGACAGGATGGGAACACGCCCCACCCCACAGGAGGGACAGAGGCAGCGTGCAGGCGGGATGGGAACACGCCCCACCCCACAGGAGGGACAGACAAACATACGGCAACAATCACAAATCCCGGGGTTGTCGGGGAGGATCTGATTTCCAGACCTGCTCCATTACATCATTTAAAATATCCAGCTCTCCGCAAAAAATTATGAGACGCACAAAAATGAGGAAATTGTGGCCCATATGCCCATGGTGGGGAGGGGAAAGCAGTGCATTGAGACAGTCCCTAAAGAAGTCCAGGCACTGGACTTGCCAGGACAAGACTTTATTTATTTATTTATTTATTTATTTATTATTTACAGACAGAGTCTCGCTCTGTCACCCAGGCTGGAGTGCAGTGGCGTGATCTTGGCTCACAGCAACCTCTGCCTCCCGGGTTCAAGCAATTCTCCTGCCTCAGCCTCCTGAGTAGCTGGGATTACAGGCGCCCACCACCATCCCTAGTTAATTTTTTTGTGTGTTTTTAGTAAACACAGGGTTTTATGATGTTGGCCAGGTTGGTTTCAAACTCCTGATCTCAGGTGATCCACCTGCCTTGGCCTCCCAAAGTGCTGGGATTACAGGCATGAGTTGCCGTGCCTGGCCTGTCAGTATTACAAATAGGTCCAAAGCATTAAAGGAAACCATGTTTTTAAAAGTTAAAGTATGAGAACTATGTCTCGCCAAATAAAGAATACCAGTAAAGAGAGAGGAAATAATTTAAAAAAGAACCAAATAGAAATTCTAGAATTGAAAATATAATAACTGAAATGAAAAAAATCACATCCCATGAACCTAACATAGAAATCAGAATATATTATTCAATATTTCTCCAAAGATTGTGTCTGCTTTGGTGGCTAAACACCTGGGCTACCACAAATAACTCTTTTATTTATGGGACTGAGATCCCCTACTTAATACTGCATGAAGTTATGATTTTTTTTAAAAAGATGATTTTCGGAAGTTATTTAAAGTTGCAAAACAATATTTTTTTCCGAAAGTAATATTTTGGCTGGGCATGGTGACTCACACCTGTAAACCCTGCACTTTGGGAGGCCAAAGTGGGTGAATCACTTGAGGTCAGGAGTTTGCGACCAGCCTGGCCAACATGGTGAAACCCCATCTCTACAAAAAATACAAAAATTAGCCGGGCTTGGTGGCGCACGCCTGTAATCCCAGCTACTCAGGAGGCTGAGGGAGCAGAATCGCTTGAGCCCAGGAAGTGGAGGTTGCAGTGAGCCAAGATTGTGCCACTGTACTTCAGCCTGGGTGACAGAGCGAGACTCCATCTTAAAGAAAAAAAAAAAAAAAGGTACTCTTTGATAGCACATGATATTTAGTACGGTTTGGCATCTGCCTTTTGGGGAAATCTGGTATTTAAAGCAGTCCTATTCATAAGCAGTGCAGAAGCTGCAGCCTTCTGTGAGTGCACAGATTACTCAGGCATAAACACACGTCACAAATACACCGCAGGGCAGAACGTGCTGCATTCATTGTCTGCTCCGTTTAAAGTGTCTCTGCACAGTGAGCTGACTTTTATCGCAAGTGCTGTGGCAGTGTTCTCCGGTTAAGGGAGGCCAGTGACCTTTTCTGCATCTAGGAAGCTCTATCAGGGTTCCTTAAAGAAGAGAGGTCAGTTGCTTTCGAATGTTCCACTAAAAATACAAAAAAAAAAAAAAAAATTAGCTGGGCCTGGTGGTGGGCACCTGTAATCTCAGCTACTCGGGAGGCTGAGGCAGGAGGATCACTTGAACCTGGGAGGCAGAGGTTGTGGTGAGCCGAGGTTGCACCATTGCACTCCAGCCTGGGTGACAGAGTGAGACTCCGTCTCAAAAGAAATAAATAAATAAATAATAAAATAAAGAATGTGACATACCTGACAATAACAGGACATGGTAGGTGGCAGCAAAGTGCGTTGAACTCAGGAAATGACACTAGATGGTAACTCACATCCCTAGGTAAATGAAAAAATGCAAAAATATTAAATAAGAGGATTCCTGTAACAAACTCTATAAATCAATATCTACTCTCCTTTCTTCTTCTCTCAACTTTAAAAAAAGACATAAAACCATATAAGCAATAAGTATAATAGATTGTTGGGTCAGCAACTTATAATAAAAATAATAGCACAGGAAGAGGGAAGACAGAATAGAATTATAAAGAAGTAACATTTCTATAGCTCAACGTAATTAAGTTAATATAAATCTGAAGTAGACTCACATAAATTAAGAAGTTTATAAAAGCACTAGAGTAACTATAAATGAAATATCTCAAAAATACTGTGAAAAACCATTAAAACATTAAACTAGAAAATATTCACTTAGTGTGAAAGGAAACAGAAAAGAAGGAAGAGAAGAACCCAAAACATCAGACATACAGAAAACAGAATGCAAAACGGAAGATGTAAATCCAAATACATCAATAATCTCATCAAATGTGAATGGATTAACAATGCCATCAAAAGACACATTACAAGACTAGATTAGTAAAAAAGATTTAATTTTATGCTGTCTACAGAAGACAGACTTTAGATCTAAATACACAAATAGGATGAAAGCATAAGAATGGAAAAAATTTATCATGCAAAGAGTAACCATAAGAAAATAGTAATGTTATATTAATATTAGTCAAAATAGACTTTAGATGCCCCCCAAATGTTACGAGAGAAATATTTTATGATAACGAAAGGTCAATCTAACAAGAAGTTATAACAATTATAAACATATAAAAAACACACAATAGATTCCCAAAATACATGAAGCAAAACCAGACAGAGTTGAAAGGAAAGTGAGATAATTAAACAATCATCCCTGGATAATTCAGAACCAGACTTTTAATACCATATAGGACAACTAGACAGATGATCAACAAAGAAACAACAGACCTGAGAAAACACTGCAAACCACCAGACCTACCAGACATTTAGGAAAACCTCCACCAGTGACATTAGAAGACACGTTATGCTCATGTGTATATGGAATGACCAGCAGGATGGACTACGTACGAGGCCGTAAGATAAGCTATGTAAGATGATGAGCATTATACAAGGTATTTTCTTTTACCATAGTGGAGTGGAATTAGAAAACAATAACAGAAGGTATTGGGGAAATCCATAAATGTGTGAAAAATAATTACACGCTCAAAATAGTCAGTGGGTTAGAGAAGAAATCACAAAGGAAATTAGAAGATGTGGAGATGGATGGAAAGGCAGATGCAGATTCCAGACTCATGGGACCTGCAAAAGCAGTGCTTAGAAGAAAATCCATGACTGTGAAAGTCTGCATTGAAACAAGGGAAAGAAAAATCTTAAATCAATAAACTAAACTTTGCTTTAAAATACTGGAAAAAGAAGAGCAGATTACTCCAGTGCAAGCAGAAAGAAGGAAATAATGAAGATTACAGTGGAAAGTCACGAAACGGAGATAGAAAAATCGAGAAAATTAATGAAACCAAAAGTTGGTTCTTTGAAAAGAGCAACAGAATTGACTCATCATTTGTTAAATTGGTGGAGCAAAAAAGAAAGAAGACTCAAATTACTAAAATCAGGAATGAAAGAAGGGGCATTATTGCAGCCCTGGCATCTGTTCTATGAGCTGCAGACAGAGTGCTCACATCCTATGTCTTATTTCTCCAAGGCATCTATCTTTCCTTATGTTTCAGGGTAGTTGGTTGCTCTGGGACTTCAGTTCTCTGTGGGAGTCAAGAAATGGTGAGTTGGGGGCTATCTGGCTTTTGTTGCTGTAATGATGGAATCAATACCCTTATTGTCATTCTACGTTCAAAGTGGCAGGAGAAAAGCTGGGACAGCTTCTGGAATCTTGAGTATGGCAATGACTGTGTAATCAAGGTCAAGGAGTAATCCAGGAGAGGCCATCTTTGGTATAATCCTGAGAAAGGGATTGAAGAATCAGGACTTTGTGAGTGTTAGAATGGGATTAATATATGAGCCCTAAGGACCTACCACGTGACTCAATCACCTGTTAGAAGGTCCTTCACTAAGGCAATAAGGAGGCGGCTGCTGAGAAGGCATCTGCATTTTTGAGCCCTATAGGCTGTCCTCTGATGAGAGGAGATGATCCCATAAAAGTGGGCTTTTTAAAATTGTCACAGTGGTGGGGCTGTAGAACAGCATAATAAAGGTGACAACCCCATCAGTAGTAAGTGATGTCACCCGAAGCATCAGTAGCAAAGCCAAAATGGCAATCTGGTTATCACTGGGGATAACTAACAAACCACGGTCTTCCTAGGAATGACAGAGAGGGATGGACGCTATGTGTTGCTCAATTTATGTAATACATACAAACTGAGATCTCACGAGCGGTCAGATAATGTTGGCCTCCGTAATGGAAAATCATAATCCCTCCCTGAGAATCTAAACCAGTTACAAGGACCAGAGCCAACTGATTGAAGGAGAGATCTTGTTGAGGAAGGATTCTAACTATCTAACTGTCCATTGCAGGCATACATGGTAAATACCTTTGCAAGACTCACCAGATGGTGCCGCAAACACTTACCAGGGCATTTCTGGAATAATGAAGAGACTATTCTTCCTCTTTAAGGACTGTAGTTACAAAGTCTGAGTTTACACGAATATGAGTGGCCCTGAAATGCCAGCTGATGTAGTTGAGATATGAAATGGCATTGGTGCAATTCCATCTTACATGGGTTCAGGGGATCCAAATGAACCAAACTTTTTCATCGGTCTCAAATGAATAACCGGAAGACACAGTCTTAGTTTCATGAATATGGTTCCACTGATTCCATGACTTCCAGAATAAAAACTATTATGATAGAAAGGACCAAGTGGGAGGCCCTGTAACTATTCCTTCCTCTGACCAAGATTCACTTGTACAAGTAATACTCCTATTAGTACTATAATAACAACAGCAATAAACATCTCAGGAGGTGCTGTAGAGCTTAGAGCCACGGTTGCAGTTTTCAAGGAGGGAAGAAGGGTTGTCCCCATCACACCCCATTCAATCACTCTTGAACTCGGCAAAAGCTGGATGGGTCGTGGTTGGACCATAAACTTGACTAAGTAGTAGTTCCCATTACAGGGCTTTCCCATCAATTGCATTTATTGGAGCCAATCGATACCTTCTCTGGCACTGGGTACATATTTTTACAACCACTCACAGCATCTTCTCCAGGGTCCTCACTGTCTGCCTTCCCAGACTGTGCACTTGCTATGGCACTATAGATGTGGCAAATGCTTTCCCCAAGTCTTTATCAATGAGGGGCCGAAAGCAGTCGGTCCTCACATGGCAGAACTCTATCGTGAATTGTTTGGGGTTGCCTTCAGTCTCTCACTTCCTGTTGCAGTCAATTCTGACAGTCATAGGGGCGTCCTGCAGAGCAGTAACCAGAGCCCCCCATTGCCTACAGCGCCACACTGGTTAGACCGAGGAACAGCACATGCCAGGGGCCTTGAGCCCTATTTGGCCTTAGTGTATTATTAGAATTATTCTTTGATTCATTGATTGACATTAATTTCTTTTCTTTTTTTTTTCTTTGAGGCAGAGTCTTACTCTGTCACCCAGGCTGGAGTGCAGTGGCGCAATCTCGACTCATTGCAACATCTGCCTCCCAGGTTTAAGTGATTCTCCTGCCTCGGCCTCCCAAGTAGCTGGGACTACAGGCACCCGCCACCATGCCCGGCTAATTTTTGTATTTTTAGTAGAGATGGGGTTTCATCATGTTGGTCGGGCTGGTCTCAAACTCCTGACCTCATGATCCACTCACCTCAGCCTCCCAAAGTGCTGGGGACATTAATTTCAAATTGAGTTTTACATTTAAACTTGTAAGTATTGGTAGTTTTAATCATTTTTTGTCTTGTATTTAATTTTGCTTCTAAACCTATACTAACTATATAATATTTAAAAGAGAGTTGCTTTTATAAAAAACTTTCTGTGTTCTGGAATATTTTAAGTGACAGATTAACTTGTTTTTACCTTAACATAAAAGATAAAATTCGGTCTGAATGCACCGAATTATGGTGATTTTATTTTTCTAGTGGTAGATCTTGAATCAGATTTCCAATATTTCTTACAGGAATGACCTATTTGAGTTTTTCACTTCTTTTATGATACATTTTTTAAACTTAAAAAAATACTTCTAAGAAATGTTCTTTCATTCTAAATACCAAATATGTTGCCAGAGTTAGATATATAATTAGCTTATAATTATCTTCATTTTTCCCTTATACATAATTGTTTCCTATTCTCATTCCTCATTCTCTCCTCCCCATAATTAACTTACAAAGGTTTAGCTTCAAAGAATCAAATTTGAAATAAGTCATGCTTTTTACTTATTTTGCTTACTATTTTATTGTTTTTAGCTTTCATGTTTATTAAATTCATTCCTTCTAATGTTTTTGAATTCATTTTGTTATTTTCTTAATGTTTAGCAGAGTACCAAATTCCTTTATCTTTGTTTTCTTTCTAAAATAATGAAGCCACCTTAAGTTAATGCATTTTCCATGTGCAATTCATTTGGACACAAAATACTCTCCTTTTCAAAGCTTTCCAGATACTTTACCAATTGTTTCTTTATTAACTCTTTCATCCAAGGATAATTTACAAAGTGAATTTCTGATTTGTCAAACACTTTAGTCATCTCCTCACTATTATTTCTACTTTTATTGTTTTGTGATCAGATAGCATGACCAACAGAGTTTCAAATCTGATTTTTCATCGTTTTAAAAGGTTTTATTTGCAGGCAAGCACATAACCAATTTTTGTCAATAGATGTTGCAAATAGACTTGCTGTTTCTTTTTGAAGGATGTTAGTGTGCACAGGACTTAGCATGTTAGTGTGAAGGCTGTTCCTGTCTCATCAATCTATTTGATCAAGGTTAGTGGTTGTTTAATGAGACTTATCTGTGTCTCTATTACTGTCGTTTTCATCATGCACCAGATCAGCAGTACAATAAAGTGGATACAGGGGAGTCTCCGTGCAATAGCAGTTTTAGGAAGGTCCTTTGCATTTCTCATAGCTCACAACTGTCCCGCGCTATGTGCCTTACAGAGCGACTCGTGAGGTCCTCACAGAAGCCCAGGGCAGGGAACTGCCACTGTTGGAGGGACGGAGACAAACAGGTTCCATGCAGGGACCCGCTGGTGACTCCCCGGCTTCCAGGGAGACTCTGCTCCTGCTGGAGCTGGTCCACAGCGAGGCGGTCAGTGTGGGTCTGGACCCTTCATTTGTTGGTCATCACAGTGCCGCCGGCGGCGCTTTGGATGTAGAGTGTGGAGGTCATCACGTCATCATGACATGGACCTTTTAGTATTATGCGCCGTCTTGCTCTCTTACAGCTTTTATTCAGTAACTTTTGCATATTAAATATTTTCTGTTTATTTCTCATTTACCAGTGTTTTCTTTTTATTTTCCTTTCTCTCTCTTCCTTCCTTCCTTCCTTCCTTCCTTCCTTCCTTCCTTCCTTCCTTCCTTCCTTCCTTCCTTCCTTTCTTTCTTTCTCTTTCTCTCTCTCTCTCTCTTTCTTTCCTTTTCTTTTTCTTCGTTTCTTTCTTTTTCTTTTTTTGATAGAGTCTCACTCTGTTGCTCGGGCTAGAGTGCAGTGAGTGGCGTGATCTCAGCTCACTGCAGCCACCTCCCAAGTTCAAACAATTCTCCTGCCTCAGCCTCCCAAGTAGCTGGGATTACAGGCGTGTGCCACCACACCCGGCTAATTTTTGTATCTTTAGTAGAGATGGGGTTTCACCATGTTGGCCAGGCTGGTCTCGAACTCCTGATCTCAGGTGATCTGCCTACCTTGGCCTCCCAAATTGGTGGGATTACAGGCCTGAGCCGCCGCGCCCGGCCTACCGGCATTTTCATTAGCAAACTTCTTTGATGTGTTCTATTGCTGCTGACACGTTCTCTTTTCATTTTCTAAGTCCATTACCTTCCTTTGTTTTCCGCACTCTCTCATAAGCTTGCTTTGCTTCTATGTCTCCAGTGCTCCACGTAGCTTTTCATCAAAACTGAGAGTCCCGCTCGGTACCAGAAGACTGTCCATTCCCATTACTGCGATGACTAACATCTTTGATTCTATTGTTTTCCACATTTGTTACCCTTACTATTCATTTTACTGACTTGTTTTTGCAGGTTTGATCCAATTATTGTCTGTCTACTATAATTTTTCCAGTAGTTACATATTTACTTGAAAACTCAATTGCCATTTCTTCCCTTAGAATTTATGTTCCCTTTCAGGGGATTTTGTTATTGTTTTTTGCTATTGATTGGAAGCACGTTTCTAACTTTCACCTTCTCCATTATGTCCTCGTCCCCTTGTCCCTGTGGGGGAGACATTTACGTGCCTGCGTGTCCCTCCACAACTTTCCTCCCGCTAACGAGACACGTCAGACACTTTTTTACTTCTTCCTCCTTCCCTCCCTCAACCTTCTAGATTTTGCTGAGCTTGTTTAAAATATCTTCTATCTAGATCATTATTATAATTTCCATTTTGGTGAGCAATTGCATTTGTATTTATTTAGCTTACAGATCTACTCATATATAAGAAATAACATAGAAACAAGGATGTTCACTGCAGCATGATTAGGAAAAGTTAATTACTGGAAACAACCCAAATGTCCACCAATAGGGGACTGATGATATAAATTATGGAGCTTTCACGCTATTGAACTCCACAGCTGTAAAACACAGCTAGAAAGCTTTTCATACACTGCTATAGAAATGTCTTTGTGTTGAATGTTAAGTAAAAAGAGCAAAGCACAGCATATTGTATATAATATGCCACTGTTGTTTTTCATTTGTGAAAAGGGGACACCTGGCTTTATAGATGCACGTGACTTTGCGTGGGCTTCGGGAAAGACAGACGAGAAGTGAACTGGGTTCTGTGCCAGATGAGAAGTGAACTGGGTTCTGTGCCTCGGGAAAGACAGAGAAGAAGTGAACTGGGTTCTGTGCCAGACGAGAAGTGAACTGGGTTCTGTGCCAGATGAGAAGTGAACTGGGTTCTGTGCCAGATGAGAAGTGAACTGGGTTCTGTGCCTTGGGAAAGACAGATGAGAAGTGAACTGGGTTCTGTGCCAGATGAGAGGTGAACTGGATTCTGTGCCTCGGGAAAGACAGACGAGAAGTGAACTGGGTTCTGTGCCAGACGAGAGGTGAACTGGGTTCTGTGCCTCGGAAAAGACAGACGGGAAGTGAACTCGGTTCTGTGTCAGACGAGAAGTGAACTGGGTTCTGTGCCTCTGTGGGGAGGAGGCAGCGCTTCCTGCCCTTTCTTGAGCCTTTTCCTCTGATGAGGTGAGCAGGGGGTCCCTGCCCTGAAACTTGCTTAATTTTGAATGCTGCTTTTTGTGCTGACACAGGCACAAAAAGGGCTGGATTTCCGGTTCCTGGACACGGTCCCTGTCTCCCTGCAGGTGGGATGTGTTACCTTATGGCCTCCGACTTCTGCTGTGGACCATGAGAAGGGCGGCAAATGTGTGATTCTTTGGTTTTTTCCTTTATTAAGATGGGGTCTCACTCTGTCGCCCAGGCTGGAGTGCGGTGGCACAATCACAGCTCACTGCAGCCTCGGCCTTTCAGGCTCAGGTGATCCTCCTGCTTCAGCCTCCCGAGTAGCTGAAACTACATGCACGCACCACCATGCCCAGCTAATTATTGTATTTTTGCTAGAAACGGGGTCTTAATTTGTTGCCCAGGCTGATCTGGAACTCCTGGGCTCCTGGGCTCAAGCGATCTTCCTGCCTGGGCCTCTCAAAGTGTTGGGATTATAGGCACAAGCCACCACGCCCATCCATTTTTCCTTTCCCTGCCTTACCTGTGGTATTTTCTTTTCCCCTTCCCAAAGTGTGCATTCCTCGTTGTACCCGTATCATTTACGAATTCCTGGGGGAAAGCATACGGCCCATCCCTCCCCACCACTTCAGCATCCGGGTCTCTCCTGAGGCCTTCTGTGCCTCGCCCGACTGTAGCTCCAAGTATCATCTTCTGTTACCGATTCGGGGGCTGCCTCTCTTCCGCCTTCTCCTTTGGGGATACGTGGCTGCGATGCTTGAGCTCCCTGACTTCCCTTCCGCGTCCATCGTCTTCCCCACAGCTCCTGTGACTCCTGTTTGTCGGCCTCTGCCTCCAGGTGTGTGTAGCCAGGCCTGGCACGTCCTCACCTTTACACACAGATTTTTCATTTTGATTTGTGTCGACTTTGAAAGTCACTTCTCCTGAGAAAGTCCTTTCCAGGTGGCCCCTCACTGCCCTCAGAAGCCCTGTCTGGTTTTGTTTTCTCTTCCTGCTGTGGCTGGTGTGTTTCTTTGGTGCCTGTTGTCTGGGATTTCCTCCTGCTCATCGGGTGGGTGGTGGGTCTGTTCCCTGGGCGCCTCCTCGCCTCGCCATCTTCAGTCTCAGCCTCAGGTGGCACGTCACTTCCTCGCCTGCCCCCTTCCCCGGGGTTCCTGGGGGCCAGATATCAAGACACAGTCCCAGGTCTGGTGTAGGCTGCACCTTGGGGGCCATAGGGCCCTGGCGCCTTCAGCTACCTCGGGGTCTGAGGGATGCCTCCAGACTCCCACCTCAGCCCACCTTGCAGGGGTCCCCAGGACCTGAGCCCTTTCTGGACTCGAAGCTCACCAGGCCCAGCAACCCACTGCCCCCCAGAAGCCAGAGGAGACGCCAGATGGCACAGAGGCCGGTGCTCCCAGCGTGCCACCACCCAGCCCCCTCTGCTGAGCCTGGTGTCCTGGTGGACGCGGGGCTGAGCCCTCCTGTCCCTGCCTTGCTGCTGTGTCACACCATCGTCCCCTGCTATGTGGGGCCCTGGCTGAGTCAGGAAGGGGCCAGATCTCCCCCAGCCAAGGGGTGCCCGGAGCCAGCGTCCTCGTGGTGCTATGCAGGGAGCGCTGCTCTGGGAGGGACGAAGGAGCCCGTCGGGGTCGTTCCGATTCCCAGTCCCTTCCCTGAGCTAAGGCGGCGCTCGAAACGGTCCCCTTGGCCCTGGTCTCACTGCCGCTCTGCCAGAACGCGTTTTATTTCTGACCCAGAGCACAGCCCCAAATCCCTGAACAAAAATCTTCAGTCGTGCCAAGTTGGTCTTTTATTGTTGCTATTAAACATTTATTAAATACTCTGTGCAGAGCCAGAGCTGGGGAGAGCGGTGATGTGGGATGAGCCAGGCCCAGGCAGTGCAGGCCGTGCCCGGGGCTCCTCCTCACAGGGCTCACAGCAGCCCTGGCCTCACGTCTGCAGGGGTTCGAGTCTGCCAGGGGTGGGCAGAAAGAGGGGCTTCAGGGGCCCCGAGCAGAAGGAGAGGCAAGAGTGGAGGGCGGGAGGCGCTGTGGGATCGGGGTACCAACTTGGCAATGAGGATGGAGGAGGAGCCACCGGGGCCAGGGCATGTGGGTGTGGGGCTGGCTCAGCTGTGGGTACTCAGGGGAGGCACAGGTGCACCCAGGCACACCGAAGGCTGCCGGGTCAGGGTGGATTTTTTTTTTTAATAGGCTTTTTATCTTGGAATACTTTTAGATTTACAGAAAGTTTGCAGAGTCCTTGCACCCCTCAGGCAGCTTCCCTGATGCTCACGTCTTACCTCACCGCTGGGCACTTGGCAAAACCAGGACAGGGATGTGGGCATCACCAGGAGCGGAATTCCAGGCTTCAGGTTCCACAGGCACTTCCGCTCATGCTCCAAAGAGAGATTTTCAAAAAGAAAGTGAAGTTTAAAACCCCTCGATGTAGGTACAGACCTGCTGGTGCCCCGGGAGCCGCTGCCTGGACTGAGCTCCGGACATCACTCCACCTTCCCTCTTGCTTAATCCCCAGAGGGGCCATGGTCCTGCCACCCCTGCTGCCTCCTTCTGACCCTCCTGTGCCTCCTGCCCCTGAGGCCTCGTGGCCTTGTCCGTCTTCCTGGCCTCTGCATCTGCTAAGCCTGTGACCTCCCAAAACCCGTTCCCAGTGGCACCAGGCTGCTCTGCAAAAACTGCCCGTGCCTTGCTAACCCCACGATGCTGGCTCCTGCATTAGGGATGAAGTCCATCAGCTTCAAGGGTCACTCTTTATTGGGTGCCGTCTGCATACCAGGCAGTATCCCCAGGACTGTGCTATGTGATTCACGCAGCCCCTGGGGCAGAGCCAGGGACTCTGCATCCTCTTATCAAGTCCCAGAGCGGTCACATAACTTGCCAGGTGACGTGGCAACACGAGGGTCCAGCTCAGAGCCGGGGCTCCCTCTGTCTGATCCTACCCCTTTCTCAGCGCCCCCTTCCCTTTCCACTGGTGCTGAGCCCTCCTCTGGACTGATAGGTCCTGATTCCTCCATCAGAGGCAGCCAGGTCCTCTCTCACCTCACCTGGGCTTGCCCAGAGCCATCACCGCCTCACAGCCTCAGCTGGGCGTCACCTCCTCCAGGAAGCCTTCCCTAGGCCGGTCTGTTTGGGCCCAGCTCCATCTGTGGCTGAGAGTCAGAGAGGCTGCTGCAGCTCTGAGGCAGAACACAGGATGCAGGGCTGGCCACGGGCCCACGACAGACCCACGGGCACGTGGCTGCAGACCCGGCCTCCTGAGGTCCTGCCGGTCAGCCCTGGGACGGTTTGAGTTCACTGCCCGTGTCCACCCCAGGCCAGACCCAGGGTGAGACCCGGCGGCAGAGGCGGCAGCAGCCACCAGGGGGCACTGTTGGCCAGCGCTGGCTGAGCTGGCAGCTTCGGAGCGGCCGGACCAGCTCCGTGGGGTTCATTTGCTGAGAGCGGCTGGAGCCCCTGGCCGAGGGGGCAGAGGGGCCAAGGAGTGAGGACCTTCCAGAATCACACTGGGCTGGGGCTCTCTGGGCTGCAAACAGTCTGCGGGCTGGCTGTCCGGGAGGCTCACTCAATACACTCAACCCCCAGGCCCTTCCCAGGGCCCACTGTCCTCTGCAAACAGGGTCTGGGGGCACCTCCTGGGCTCCTCCAGTGGGGACCTGGGTGCCGAGGGCCTTGCTGTCCGAGGAGCCGAAGACAGGAGAGCTGGACAGCAGGCCTTGCTCCGACGGCTCAGCAAGCCCAGGACGGTCAGGCGTGATGGGGCCCCCTGCCCTGCCCTGTGCTGCTTTTATGGAACAGGCCTTCTGGGGACCCCTTGGGAGTAGCATGCAGAGGTGAGACTGGGCTGCACTGCCTGGGCCCCGGGTCATTCTCCTGCAGCCACGGCCCAGGGAGGTTACACGGGGCATGCACTGTGCTGTCTGTGCCTAGGACGGGCTCACTGTTTCCGTGTAGGGAGGAATGTTCCCTCAATCGCTGACGCCCGAGGTGGGGATGGGGGTCCTGCTTTTCCTTCTGTACTTGCAGGGTTTTTTGGTTTCCATACAATGAATCTGAAGAGCGCAGTGATTAGGTTGAAGTGCTGCCTGCGGCCAGGAGGCAGGGTGGGGCTCCAGGATCCCCTCTCCTAGCTCTGCCCCTCCAGCCTGTGCTTTGCTGGGAGCTTGGCCCTGCTGGGCCTTGTGTTCCCCAGCACTGTCCACTTTTCCTTGGGTGTCTTGGCTTCATGCTGTCTCGCACGGCCCTTCTTCTACCCAGGCTGCAGCTCCCACAGCCCCTAGTTGGTGTTGTCCCCGTCCCTCCTGGGTCCTAACCCCTGTCCCCAGATGGGTGGATTGGCAGAGTCCAGCAGCCCTCTGCCCTCCTGTGGCATGGCAAGGCTGGGGTCTCTCCCTGTCCTTGTCCTGGCCTGTGTTCCCTCAGCCCACTTCACCTAGGGCGGCAACAGTGATGCTCAGGCCCAGCCCTGGCCCCTGTCCTGTCCACACAGCACAGTGACCTCTGTGCCACACCCTGTGTACCCCCGGGTGCACTGTATCCCCGCCCTCCACAGACTGCCGTCTGCAGCCTGGCACAAAGCCGTGGGAGGACACTCGCCGTGGCAGCATTGACCCTTCTCAGGGCCAGCCTGGGCCTGGCGGGCAGGAGGACACATGGGCTGCAGGAAGAGCACTGCCTCTCCCTTGGGTGTCTGGGACCGTTGTGCCTGTGTGTGTGCCTGTGTGCACCTGTGTGCGTCCCTGTGTGCACCTGTGTGCGTGCCTGTGTGTGTGCCTGTGTGTCTGTGTGCCTGTGTGCGTGTGTGTGTGCCTGTGTGCCTGTGTATCTGTGTGCCTGTGTGCCTGTGTGCGTGTGTGTGTGCCTGTGTGCCTGTGTGTGTGTGCCTATGCACCTGTGTGCATGCCTGTGTGCTTGTGTGCATCCCTGTGTGCACCTGTGTGCGTGCCTGTGTGCCTGTGTGGGTGCCTGTGTGCGCACCTGTGTGCACCTGTGTGCATGTCTGTGTGCACCTGTGTGCGTGCCTGTGTGCACCTGTGTGTGTGCCTGTGTGGGTGCCTGTGTGCGCGCCTGTGTGCACCTGTGTGCATGTCTGTGTGCGTGCCTGTGCACATTCTCCTCTCCTTCCTGGTGGATTCCGTACCTCGTGAAGATGCACCCATGTCCTCTGCCCTGGACCCCACTTCCCATCTCCTCCCTCTGCCCCAGGTCTTGGCACACAGCTCAGGTCTCTACAGTGGACCCTGGAGCAGGGGAACAACTGCTCTCCACGGTGCCTGCTGTACTGGAGAGCCTGAGGTCAGAGCTGAGCCCTCCCCTTCCTCACTGCCGCCTCCTGGCACCGCCATCCACACTCACCCTGCCTTCCGCGGACCCTGTCTCCTGTCCACTTCAGTCCAGCAGCTTCTTCCTCTGCTTTTTTCGGTGAAGCCATCGCATCTGGCCTGGCTGGACCCTCAGACTTCCATTTCTCCCAAAGCTGGAGGTAATTAATTGCTTGTGCCGCCTAGCCTGACTCTTCCCTAATTGCCTGCAGGAGTGATGAGCTTCCCTGGGGACTTCTGTGCCTCTGGGAGGCCCTCCCCAGGGTCAGGGGCTCAGTCATCTCATTCCCTTCACGTCCAGACCCGCTGTGGACAGACAGCGCCTAACGAGGCCGCCACCCCGCAGCCCCCAGGCCCGGCAAGCCCCGCCTGCCCATCTCCACCGTCCTCCAGGAGAGAGCAAACAGCATCCAATCTGCAGACAGTCACTCTCAGGAGACAGCAAACGGCATCCAATCTGCAGACAGTCACTCTCCATTCACTGCGCTTCCCTCCAGAAATAGACCTCTCAGATGTGCGGGGATCACGAATCCCAGCCCATTCTGCGTTCCAAGCTGGGCTTCCTTTCCTGGGGTTTTAGAATTACGTGTTCCGCATGAGCTGGTCTGTGGCAGCTTTTACCGCTGTCTGTGGGGACAAAGTGCTCCCTGCTTCATGGTTCTTACAGTAAACACGTGTGAGTCTCCTGTGTGCCGGACAGTAAACACGCGTGGGTCTCCCGTGTGCCGGACAGTAGACACGCGTGGGTCTCCCGTGTGCCGGACAGTAAACACGCGTGGGTCTCCCGTGTGCCTGACGGTAAAGACGTGTGGGTCTCCCGTGTGCCGGACGGTAAACACACGTGGGTCTCCCGTGTGCCGGACAGTAAACACGCGTGGGTCTCTTGTGTGCTGGATGGTAGACACGCCCCATGTGGGTCTCCCATGTGCTGGATGGTAAACATACGTGGGTCTCCCGTGTGCCCGACGGTAAAGACGTGTGGGTCTCCCCGTGCCGGACAGTAAACACGTGTGGGTCTCCTGTGTGCCTCATGGTAAACATACGTGGGTCTCCCGTGTGCCCGACGGTAAACACACGTGGGTCTCCCCATGCCGTACAGTAAACACGCGTGGGTCTCCCCGTGCCGGACGGTAGACACGCCCCATGTGGGTCTCCCATGTGCTGGATGGTAAACATGCACGGGTCTCCCATGTGCCCGACGGTAAAGACGTGTGGGTCTCCCCATGCCGGACAGTAAACACGCATGGGCCTCCTGTATGCCTCATGGTAAACACGCGTGGGTCTCCTGTGTGCCGGACAGTAAACACGCGTGGGTCTCCCGTGTGCCCGACGGTAAAGACACATGGGCCTCCCGTGTGCCAGATGGTAAACACGTGTGGGTCTCCCGTGTGCCCGACAGTAAACACACATGGGTGTCCCTGTGCCGGACGGTAAACACACGTGGGTGTCCCTCTGCCGGACAGATGCTTCCGTGCTTCCTGATTTTATTCTCAAAACAACAACCTCAGGAGAAAGACATTATCTTCACTTTGCAGGTGATAAGCAGGAGCCCAGGGAAGGCAGATGGTTCCCCAGGAAAGAGGAAGATGAAAGACCCAGCCCAGGGTCTCTCTGAATCTGAGGCCTGGGAGCTGCTCGCTCCTCCCGTCTGACAGACTTCTAAAGACCCTGGAGGGCGTTCGTGCGCTTCCAGCCAAAGCCCGGAGAGGCCCAGCTCGGCACTGGCCATGAGGATGAGCCTGCAGACTCCAGCCCCAAACCTCCCCTTGCCCCTGCAGGACGGCACCTGGGGCAGCCTTGATGGCGGGGTACTTTCTGGGCCTCAGCAGCAGCCACCTCCTGGGCAGGGGCTGTCTCCCCACAGCGGGGCAGAGGCTGCCCTCTGCAAGGTACACGCGGCCCAGCGGTTCCTGGAGCCCTCCGGCTCGCTGCTGAGGCAAAGCTGCAGACGCCGCCCCTCCTCCCGAGGTGACCCCGCACTGGTGTCCTGAGCTGAAGTCTTTCCCACCTCTGGGCCTTGCCACAGGGGTCTCCGTCTGCCACGCC